GGCAGGCCACGGTCTGGCACCCGTGATGGGCAGTGCTGCAGCCGGGCAGGAGCAGGTTAATGACCTGGTTGCCGTCCAGATGGATGTCTCTGGGCTTTGGAAGCGGAGGACATCTGATATTCCTTCTGGGACTCTTGATATCAATCTCTTGCCAGTTTGAACCTTTCCAGTGAAGCCTTAAATCTTAGGAGCAGGCTCTGCTCTTGGTTGTGTTGCTCAGTTCAAAGAGCAGGTCAGTTTGGAGGACAGAGTTGGCCTGCTGTTAAATCGCTGGCCCTCCCCTTGCAAAGGACACTGCAGATCCGTAACTTCAGGGGCCTGCGCTTCCCGGGCAGCTGGGCGCTGCGTGGGTGAAGCAGTTGGTCTCATTCCCTCCCACTGGCCCTTCCTTCCCTCTGCAGATGAAGAATGCCAGCTACAACCTGGATCCGTACATTCAGGAGTTTGGCATCAAGGTGAAAGATGACATGACGGAGGTGACAGGGAGGGTCCTGCCGGCACCCATCCTGCAGTATGGAGGCAGGGTAAGCAGGACTGCGCCACTTGGATGTTTGCTTTGCGCAGAGAGATGCTTTCATGCTGGAAAATGCCAGTTTTGACCAAAACTTGTGCTACCTTCGGGTTTGTAGGTTAGAGCTGGAAATTTTTTCGGGGAGCCTTAGGTGCTTTTGCAGCATGACTCTTCTGAAAGTTGTAGCCAAATGTCTTCCTTCTAATGATGAATAAAGCAGGCTCAAGGACATTCAGGACAAGGCTGTGGTTCTCCCATGGCCTTCCTCCTGCATGCCCTTGCCATGTTTTGGTCGGGGCCGCATGGCCGGGAGGACCCTCGCCGAGTGCTGCGATAGGCCCCGGAAATGCTGGGAGCGGACTTTGGTGGGGGCAGATGCTGAAGGAGAGCAGCGTAGCGGTGGGATGGAGAGTGCAGGTGCTGTGCGCTGCTCTCCCCGAGGGGTTAGTGGCGTGGGGCCAGAGTGGGTCCCGTCGCTTTCCCAGCGGGATGCGGCTGCTCGGCGGCAGCGCTCTGACCGTCTGTTTGCCTTGCAGAACCGGGCCATTGCAACTCCCAACCAAGGCGTGTGGGACATGCGAGGGAAGCAGTTCTACAACGGCATTGAGATCAAAGTCTGGGCGATTGCTTGCTTTGCCCCGCAGAAGCAGTGTCGAGAAGAGGTGCTGAAGTAAGGAAAGAGGCAGCCCGCGCGGGTGGGCCAGGCGCACGGGGAGACGCGTCCGCGCTGGCGCGCCATGCAGCCACCCGGCTTTTCGCAGCCTGAGGCTGCGCTTCCCGTGCCGCTGGTGCTAGGTCTATTGCTCCGCAGTACAAATTTGATCCGGATCTGGACTGGGTGTTCAGTCACGTTTCTGTTTATCCAGAGTGCTTGACTGTTTATCCTGGCTGCAACCAGTCCCTGAGCTGGCACAAGGCCTGCCAGGTTGAAGTTAGCACGCTGGCACTGTAACGCACGCGCGCTGTCAGCAAGCCTCTCCCAGATCCACCCTTTGCAGCAGGTAGCTGCAGGGTTTCAGTCTGCTGCTGCAAGCTCTAAAGCCAAGATCGGCTGTGTTGAACCCTTCTCGTCTGAACTTCCTCAAGCAGAAGCTGGATGGGGTTGCGAGGGACACTTAATTAAAAGTTTTCCCTAGACCCTGAGAGCTCAAAATTAAATTTTATTCAACAAACTGTCGGCCCCACTTCAGCTTTACCTTGGAATAGTTTCCTTTGGGCTCCGGCCCTGCTGGGGCTCTTGATCCTTGGAGTGCCCTTTGCTGTCTGTCCACCCACAGGGCTAATCAGTATTTGCCTGTGGGAGATGTCGTCTCTGGCTTCTGGTGGGAGAAGTGGGCTTCAGCTGCTAAAATGCGAATGTGCCCTCTGCTTTTAAGGATATTCAGCCCCTGCTGAATTAGTGTAACTTACATAGGAAGCATACTAGCTGTCCACAGGTTTTTATTACAGAGTAATTTTAGGCTTTCTGAAGAGCTTTGGTAGCTTAGAGGTCCTCTGCCGTAGTAGGTGAGTAGCACTGAGTGGCGATAGTTTATCTGATTTAGGAAAACAGTCACCTTGGTTTTGGATTCTGATGGGGACCCAGGTTCTCATGACCTTCCCCTGCCACTAGAGGCTGGATGTATCTGGGGGCAAGGATTTTGTGTGCCTTCTGTGGCCGTGTTCGGTGCTGCTATCTGATGGGATGGTTTGGAGCGGCTCTCTGAGTCACTAAATCTGCAGCGACTGGGTGCAGGGGGAAGTGAAACACCACTTTGGGGTGGGGGAGTGCTGCTGGGCAGAGCTGGGAACCCCGGGCTCCTTGTGGCAGTTTCTGCATCAAACTTAGCTTCAGCAAACCAAAAATCTGGAGTGTGTCTGACCTTGCGCACAGGCAGAGCACTCTGTCTGGTTGGGTAAGCGAAGGCTTGCATCAATTTTGCAAATCACCTGGAAATCAGCTGTGCCAGACAGCAGGTCTGCTCCCTCTTCTCCTGCTTTCAGAATGAGAAAAGCTTGCAAGTCATTCAGTCTTCCGAAAAAACATCTTACTCTGGGTAAGAGGCCTTACGAGGGCACGGCCGGGCTGGGACTGTTCAGCTCTAGCACACGTTGGTCGTTCTGTGCCGCATTCCGCACACCATGCGGTGCAAGACAGGTGGTGATTTCCCTTTCCCGTCTCTCTCGGGGCTTGCTGGATGCTGGAAAACCACAGGCGTGGTAACGTGCCGGGCCCTGGTCCGTTGGGCGCCGGAGCTCCCAGGCCCTCGGCCTCGCTCGGCGGCCGGGGGCTGCGGCGGTGCAGCCCTGCAGAAGGGCTGACTTCTCTCTCCTTCTGGGCACAGGAACTTTACGGACCAGCTGCGCAAGATCTCCAAGGACGCGGGGATGCCGATCCAAGGCCAGCCCTGTTTCTGTAAATATGCCCAAGGTGCAGACAGCGTGGAGCCCATGTTTCGACACCTCAAGAACACCTATTCAGGGCTTCAGCTCATCATTGTCATCCTGCCGGGCAAAACGCCGGTGTACGGTGCGTCTGGGGCAAGCGCGAGCGGGAAGAGGAGAAGGGTTTTGCTCTGGCTCAGCGGGGCTGGCTCTGCTCCTCCCGTAGCACCTCCTCTCCCGGTTTTTGAGGCCAAATGCTGAAAGCTGTGCTTTGCCCATTGCCTCCCTGTTCACGTGCTTCCTCTGCCCGCAGCTGAGGTGAAGCGCGTTGGGGATACCCTCTTGGGAATGGCCACACAGTGCGTCCAGGTCAAGAACGTGGTGAAAACCTCCCCGCAGACCCTTTCCAACCTCTGCCTCAAGATCAACGTCAAACTCGGCGGGATCAACAACATCCTTGTGCCTCACCAGCGGTTCGTACGGCTGCTGCGTCTCACAGCTCTTGGGCTGGTTTCAGAGGTCCCCCGTGGCCTCCTGTCCCTCGGGCCAGCCGGGTTTTGCGCCGCCCGCCTGGCGGGGAAGGGCACATGGGCTGCGACGCGAAGCAGCTCTTGGAAACGCGGGTTCCCAGCCTGTCTTGCCTTGCAGCGAGCTCTTGCTGGGCCTGTGCCCAGAGCCTGGAGGATGGGAGATGTCCCTATGCGATCTGCTCCTCTCCGTGGGCTGCGCGTCGCCCCGCGATGTCTGAATGTGCCTGAGATGGTCCCGAAAGGCTGACTGCTCCTCTCTCCTCTTTCCCACCAGCTCTGCCGTCTTTCAGCAGCCGGTGATCTTCCTCGGGGCTGATGTCACTCACCCGCCGGCAGGAGATGGGAAGAAACCCTCCATAACGGCCGGAAGTTCCC